CGGCGGCGGCGGCGGAGCGCGGCCCGGCGGCCGCCGCGATGGAGCAGTGCGTGACGGTGGAGCGGGAGCTCGAGAAGGTGCTGCAGAAGTTCTCGGGCTACGGGCAGCTGTGCGAGCGCAGCCTCGAGGAGCTCATCCAGTACGCGGGCGGGCTGCGCCGCGAGATCCTGCAGAGCGAGAGTACGTGCGGCACCGGCCCCCGGCCCCGCGGCCCTTCCCGCTGCCGCCCTTCCCGCTTCCCCTTCCCCCTTCCCGCTTCTCTCTTCCCCCTTCTCCGGTTCCTCCCCCTCCCGTGCCCTTTTTGAGGGAGAAAAGGGCGGTTTCGGTGCGGAGCAGCCYGAGCCGGGCCCGGTGCTGAGGCGGCGGGACGGCGGCCCTGGGCGCCCGCTTTCCTGCCCTTCTYATCCCTTGTTTGCTTTGTCTTCCCCTCCTTTGGATTTGTTTTTGCTCCCCGGCATTCGGGAGCTCAGCGCTGGGCCTCCCCAGCGCTGCGTTCCCCCATCCCAGGCTTGGGAAGCAGAGCCGCTTCCTAAGCCGTGCTGGGCAGCAGGCTGCCCTTGCACTGCCGTGGATCCCCCTGGCATCCCGCAGGAATCCCCTCCGGATCCGGAGCTCGGAGCCAGGGAAGTGCCCAGGCCCCAAGATGCTCCCGCATCCCCCTGCCCGGCCGCATCGGGGTCCATCCCACTGCGGGCCCAGACATGTTTCCCGTTTGCCATCCCGGTGGGATACGTCCCAGCTCCRGAGCAGGGCTCGTGCATCCCCTGTGCGCCCACTCGGACCTTCTCCTTGTGCGTGCGGGATCCTCGTCCCATCCCTTAACGCCCTGTTTGTGCTCTCCTGACAAGACCCTGCTCTTGCTATTAGCTATTCCACACTGTATCCCAAATACTTTGGAAAACCGTCAGAAAMGGCAGCCGTCAGACCTCGTAACGCGGAGCTTCACAGTGCAGGGGTGGCCTGAACTGCTAAAATACATCTGTGTAGATAATTAAAAGGAAAAATAGAAAGGAAACTATGCTGCTGAAGAGGATCATGCTGTGGGACAAGATGTGAGAACAAAGGTGCTTGTGGAGACCTGAAATGGCAGTGGATGTGAAAGGGAGGAGAGTGGAGGAAAATAAACCTTTAGAAGCTGCTTTGGCTTCTGCACTTGGTTTCCCAACACTCTTAAAAATTCTGGAGTTCTTTTCCAAGTGTTCTGTGAACAGTGAACTGTGGAAAAGACCGTGTGTGCATCCTTCTGTGGATGTAAAGCTGGAAGAGATAAGAGCAAGGGGAAAGTCTTCCGTGTGAGCAATCCGGTAGTTTTTGCTTGTTTTGTTGTAGTTGTTTCTGCTAAATTAAATGCTGGGGACAGAATAATCTACTTAACTCGCTCGGCAGAAGCACCTGTGCATGCAARCTGGCACAGTTTGGCCGGGCCCCTATTAGTTTTAATGGCTTTCCAAGCAAAAGGACCATTAGGAGAAGCTGTTTTGATGTTTCTGGCTATTGGGCAATACAGATTAGTGGAAGGAGTGTTTTGATTTTGTTTGTTGTGTAATCTCTGGTTATTCTCTTTTGGCAGAAGTCACGATATCCGGCCAGGCATTTGCTTAAAATCATGTGTGTGACTTTAGATGTCTGTGGTGTTTAAATAGTACCAAAGGGACGGTGCTTATCCTTGGAGCGATTTAGGAAGCCCCCTTCTATAATAGCTTAGAGACTTTTTATTTTGAATGTCGACTGTGTTAGTGACGACTCACTGAGGAGGCTGTTTAAATTCAGCTGCTCCTCAATCATCCTCTAGGAAAAAAAAATGTAGAAAATATGGGATTTTTTCTTTTTTCTTTTTTCTTTTTTTTTTTTTTTCTTTGAAAGCTACAGCTGTTGCAAAAATACTGTTTAAGTTGCCTTGTCCCGAGCCCGTGGAGACTGGAGAGGAACTGAGACCCTTCCTGCCCGAGCTGGTTTCGGGGCAGCGACAGCGGGAGCTGGTTGCGCTGTTGACATCAACAGCGAAGCGGGAAGTTAGGGTGCACACGAGGAGGGATTTAAAACAAGTGCCTGGTTAATTATTACCTACTCGCTCTGATTACAGCTTTTTTTCCATCGTGGGAGTGGATTTCCTTTGCCCTCTGCGAGGCATTTTGCTAAACTACATTTAATGGCTACCACTGGTTTCTGTTACTGTCAGTGGTCCCTTGTGTTTTGCACTGCAGGGGATACCAGGCTGCTTTCTAAACCTTTCTTTTAAAGAGGGGTTTCGGGTCTTAAGTTTTCCTGCAAAGAGTTTGGATCTGGAATGTTTGGAAGGAGTTTCCGGGCTGATTCCCGCTTAGATTTGTCCTCTAGTGCAGAGACTGCTAAGTTTGTGTCCCTGCAGGAAAAATCCTTCCTGTGGGGTGAAGGTTGAGGAGGAGAGACCCACGGAGGTGAGATTGGAAAATAGGTTCTCCCTGTATTTTCAAGCTAAAAAAAAAAGGATAAAGGGCTGGAGCGATGCACAGAAGAGTGTGATTTTTCTCTGGCTAAAGCCCCTGAAGGTTTGAGCCGAGGCCTGGAGGTGCAAATGGTCACTCAAAGAGATCTCGTGGTCAGGGGCTCGTGGACCTTC